GGGTTTAGGGTTTTGGAGTGTGGCTTTAGGATTCTCCGGTTTCGGGTTTTAGTGCTTAGTGTTTTAAAGTGTAAGATCTGGTGTTGTGCGTTTGGGTTTTTGGCTGGAGATGCTAGTCGCCCAATCACCCAGGCAGTGTCTGGCCGCGTCGGTTTCTTCATTGTGACTTTTTCTGTGACTTATTGGTGGGCCAAGAGCACCAGACCTCGAGGAACTGTGATATAACCTTTTCCAATCCAGAGCCAGCAATACCAAGCTGCAATCTGACTTACCTACTTGCTGCAGCGAGGCAATCCGGCCCAGCGGGACATGGAGGAGGCCGACGTTCTTGAGGAGTTGCCTTTGCTTGGGCTCCCAAAGCCGATGTAAGGTTTGATTTTGGAAATGAAGGTCTGAACTCAGGCCGGTGTGTTGGCTGGGGAAGCTGGGATTGCCGTCCCCCGATCCGTGCAGCAACCCTGGTCACCACATGTCTCGTCTCTTGCCACAACAGGCGAGACACTACGTTAGCAACCATAACTAGTACGCAACCATCATTCGAACCCCATAATGAAGCTTGGGAGATACTATATATAGATAAGATAAGATAAGATAAGATAAGATAAGATAAGATAAGATAAGATAAGATAAGATAAGATAAGATAAGATAAGATAAGATAAGATAAGATAGGATAGGATAGGATAGGATAGGATAGGATAAGATAAGATAAGATAAGATAAGATAAGATAAGATAAGATAAGATAAGATAAGATAAGATAAGATAAGATAGGATAAGATAGATATATATATATACATGTGTATATATATATATGTATATATATGTACATATATATATATATACATATTGTAAGTTTATTAATTTAACTGTATCTACATTTATCTATACATAATGTATGTATGTATGTATATATATATATATGCGTGTATAATCGGATCACCCTTGCAACCTCGAGAGCAGCTTGCCGGTCAGGCACTGGTCTTTCTTGTAGCCAAAGGATAATCCTTCAACCTTCATCTCCATGAGATCGGTCCTGTTCGCCACAAAGTAAGACAACTACGGCCCTAAAGGGGTGTAGGGCTTGGGGTTTAGGCTTTAGGGTTTAGGGTTTAGGGTTGCCCAAAACCCAGATATCTGTGGCCACGAGCGCAGAGATTCTAGGCTTAGAAGTATGCAATCAGCTGGCTTGGGGAAATATAGTGTACTGTAGTTATGTAAGGATGTCCAAGCGATACGAGTACTGATTGTTCCGCCCCCTTTTTGATGATTGGGGTTCCGGGTTTAAGGTGTTGTCATGAAGAACTTGGAGCATCAAGCTGTGTGGCTGCCTCCAAAGGCTTGCCTCCCCCCCGCCATCTTATAAGCCTCTGCAAGCATCTGGGCTGCCCTCAAGGTTCGAGGTCCTGACCGGCCACCTCATGCAAACTTCGAGCACGGGGGCCAGCAGTGGGTTGCGAGGGCAAGCGACAACCCTGCTTGGCAACAATGCGTCGAGCAGGCTGTCGAAGCGGTCCCGTTTGTTAACCATAGTACCTTCTCATCGCTCCGCTGCTGGCTGTGCCAGTAGCCTTCGTCCAAGGCCCAACATGTAGCACCAGCAATTCAAACTATGACGAGGAGCAGACACATCACTGTGACAGCACTAAAGCCATTGATCGCCACTGATGACTCGCTCATATATCTTCACTACTCCAACATAATCCCACAAGTGGTGATATGAAGTTCAACTGAGCAGCATGTGCTCTACTGGCATCCCCGAAGGCCACCCAAACATAGACCCTAAGTCACCAAATGCCTTTGCGAGACTACGGGGCTTTATGACTGGAACCCCTACACCCTAAACCCTAAACCCCGTATGACTGCATGCCTGGAACACTTCAAAACCAACCCCACCCCTAAGGACCATATACAAAAAACTAAACCCCCTCCCAGCAAATGCGTATGACTACGAGACCCCAAAAGCCCAGAACCCCTAGATGTCACTAAGACCCGTACATGACACGAAGACTGAAAACCTCAAAACCCTAAACCCTGTGAATGCCTATAAAACCCTAAGTAAACCCCTGTAAGAAACCCGTAAAAGAATACATGACAAACGCGCAAGTACAACACGTCCTCAGGAGTCCGGTCTCCGGCGGTGGCTCGGGGAGTTTCCTGGCCTCCTGGCGTGCCTGCGCTTTGGGGAAAGTTTGGGGTGTTACGGTTCAGGGTTTGGGGTTTAGGGTTTTCGGGTTGGGGCTTAGGGTCTAGGGTGCAGGGTTTAGGGCAGAGCAGCTGAAGTCTTTCAGCTGGTTCCTCGATTTCATGAGTGGAGATGCTGACATGAAGTGCAAGCAACCTGCAGCATGACAAGAGAGAGAATACATCTTGAAAGTGCCTTTCAAGCCTCGGACGGCATGATGCTTTTGCGAACGTCTCTGGGTCTGCAACCATTCTGACATCGGTTTGGGTTGGCCCATGCAGTATGTGGAACGAGCAACCATGTGTTGAAATAGAACCCCTTATGTGCCTCCAGAGTAAGCGCCCGGTTCCGCAAGTTCAGTTCGCGCAGGATCTGGGCGGCTGTCGGGGGAGAGGCATGTCCCTCTGGGGCCGAGGTGTCAGTGTATGACTCTCAGTCTCCTTACCAAAAATTGATGTTGCAGCCCTGCTTGCAACTAGTTCAGCTACTGCACCAACCTTACAATGAGCGTTGTGGTACATTCCTTTTAAACGTTTTGAACGTCACCTCCGGACCGAGTTGATTGGGTCCATTGCAGACTAGTAACAGCGATGACAACTCCTGCCCTTATTCCTACTCCTACCCCGACCCCGACAAGCCTACGATCTCAGTACTACTGCTACTGTTACTGCTGTTGCTACTGCTACAGCTCGGAGGGAAGTAGCAGAAGCAGCAGGAGTGGTAGTTTCTTGCCACTGCTGCCCTTATTGGCGTTGGCTTTAGTGACTTTATTGCCCTTGCAACAGTGATCACTGATCACTGCTGGTCTGCTGTACTGCTCCAGAGGAAAATAACTTACAGAAACAAGCCATCAATGGAGAACAGCTCTGAAACTTGGCCTCAGGACGAAAACCCAAAAATGAAAGCTCCAACTGCTAGACAGCGTGCACACCAAAGCGATCTAAAGAGTCGGGTTCAGAATGGCTCCACCCCAAAGCTCCGACTCCTGCTTCGCGGGAACTTCCAAGAGCGCGGCTGGAAGCTCTGATTCCATGTTGAAGAAATGAGTCAAGACCTGCCAATACAAAAAACAAGTCCTGCACAATATCTGCCTATTCATGAACTCCACAGCAACAGACCATACGTCTGCTTCCTTGCGCGATGATAGCGGGATGAGAAGAGGGGAAGGATTGGAGAAGAAGACGAAAGGACTCCCCCAAAGCATAAGAGAAGCAAGATGAGTTTGCTGCAATACACCAGGGGATCTAACGGAAGTGCATCTCCGCTTCTTGAAGCTCCCTCCTGCCCTGATGCAGAAGATGGGAAGGCTTTGTCAAGCACCTGTAGTAGACGTCTAGAAGTTCGGAGGGCATCCTCGTGCTACAGCTGGTACACAACATAAGAATCCATACTGGACAACAGAAAGTGCTTCGTTCAGCGGACCTTCAGAGAGTCGATCCGGGTGTTGATGCCTTGGCTTGCCACTGCACCGACGACAAGAGCTTTAGAAAGAGAGTTGAAATGAAGTGAAGAGGATCTAGAAGACTAACCAGGCAATGATGACGCTGGTGATGATGATGAGGATGATGATGATGATGATGCTGATGGTGAGGATGAGGATGAGGATGAGGATGATGAGGAGGAGGAGGATGATAATGAGGATGGTGATGATGATGATGATGATGATGGCGATGATGATGACGGCGGCATTGATGACGACAATGCAATGAAGATGACAATGACGAGGATAAAAGCGAGATGTCGAGGAGAATGCGAAATTACCAGGCGATTGTGGCGATGGTGGTGACGGAAGACAGTCGCCACCAAACAGAAAAAAACACTACACCGGGCAAGATCAAGTGCGTTAGTTCAGACCCCGCCCGCCCCCACCCCCTTCCCCCCCCCCATCCCTCTCTACCCCCACTACTGTACCCCACGATACCCAAATCGCACACCCAAAGCCTCAAAAAATGACCGGCACAAGCCAAGCGGCTCATCAGCTCGATAAAAATGCCCTCGAAGTCGTTGGTCATGTCGCCTCAGGCTTCTAGGCTCTACAGGAGGACGGTCTTCTCTCTGTGCTGGTGCTGATGACGGTGAAGAATGGCAAAAACTTATGATAACAACAATGCTGATGCTGATGACGACAATGGCGATGATGGCGATGAGACATGTGAAGGGGAGCCTCGTGGAAAATCGGACGATGAGCGGCAGGATAGGGATGTATCATGGTGACGACGACGATGATGATCGTGACGAAGCTGATGAAGATGCACAAGAACATGATGATGATGATGATGATGACGACGACGAAATTCGCCGCGCAGTTGACTGCCGCTGCCGCTGCTGTCTGCGCTGCTGCCTGCGCTGCTGGCTGTGCTGCCGCTACAGCGCTGCTGCCGCTGCTGCTGCCACTGATGTTCCTCCTGTTGTTGTTGTTGCTGCTGCTGCTGCTGCCGCCGCCACTGTCGCGGTCGCTGTTGCTGTTGCTGCTACTGTTGAATGTTATGCTTGTTCTTACTGTTGTGGTCGTCGTCTCATCGCATTGTTCTGTTCGATGGCTTTTCGCGCCTTGCTAACATTGTTGAAGGCAGTTTGGTCTTGTTAGTCAGTCTACGCATGTGGCGTTGATGGTTTTGCTCGCATGTCAGCAACCTTTTCACGGTGGGTGGAGTACTAGGAGGTCAAGCTGTCGATGCTTCTTCCCATATCTTATGTCCGAAACCGAGTGACTGCCACCGCCAGCTGCACAGTGAACATCATAGCACTCTAGTACGATGAAAACCACAATAATGACATGCCATACTTCTTCCGACAAGGCAGACTAGGACTAGATGACTAGGTAGTGGCTGCCCGCCAGAAGCAAGCCACAGGAAATCCGACCCTGGGATTGCGCAGGCACGCTAATCGACCCAGGTGCTGATCACAGAGATGATCGCCAGGAACACCTGGCAGAGCGGCAGAGCACCGGGCGCAACAATGGCTTGCCACAGCCCAGAAACCTACCACAACCTAAAGCCAGCTTCAAATGCAGAGAACGAACCCCCGAACCCTGGACCCGAAACAGGTGGGCTGCGACCGACGGCCAAGACTATTTGCACGAGTGGCACAAAGCCAGTTCGGGCGTAAAGGGGAGTCACCAACGGCACTAAGTCACAGGTATTTGCTGCCGCAACCAGTAGGTGCTACACAGCTCATGCCCACGGATGCAGGAAAGACTGGAGTATCACGCTGGTGCACGACGTTTAGCGGCTATCCGTCGGCAACAGCGGATCTCACGACATCTGCTCGACTGAGATGCCCTGAAGGCAAAATCCAACATGTCACGTCAAGGAAGTACACGCTGGGAGCGCTCCCATCGACGTCGACCCATCCAGAACACTCTCGGCAAAGAGGGCCTGCGTGCGGCTTCTGGCAGTTTGGGCCACGGGGTTGTGCGATTCCGGCATTGACACAGGCACTGCCACGTTGACCAACTCCAGCGCGAAAGATACTGCCAAGGATGTCGGTGGGGGTCGTGGATGAATGGCGATAATAATGGTGATGATGATGAGGATGATGATGATGATGATCATGGCGGTGATCATGACGGTGATGATGATGGTGATAGCGATGGCGATGGCGATGGCGATGGCGATGATGATGATGATGGTGATGATGATGGTGATGATGATGATGATGAAAGTAATAACGATAACGAAGACGATGCGGACGAGGATGAGGATGAGGATGATCATGATGTTACGATAGAAACAACTATGGACAACAAACACATGGAGGTCCTTAAGTTAAGTAGTGATATTGACATCATCTTAAGGTGTCATCTTTCGCCGCACGGCGTTGAGATGCACTACCCACATTTGAAGAAACAGTGCTTGAGGCTTCGAGCCTAGTATCTGCGCGTCGTGATGCTGAGAATGGTTGAAGCTGAACACTCATGAGCCCCTGGCAATGTAAGCGCCGATGAAGGTGGGTCCCAGCCACTGCCTTTCCAACATGCATCAAGAACCCCGTTCGCCGAAGACAAGGGCTTTTCGATGTTCTCCATGCTACGGGTACAAACACAAGCCCCATCAACTCAGACCCGACTCTGCTAGAAGGGCAACTTGTTGGCACACTCTTGCCGCGGATACACATGCCCGCCTGTCCTCCAGACCCGAACCCTGTCTGATAGTCAAGTCACGGAAAATAGTTGTTATTGAGTGCCACCTGCTGCTCGGGAATGACCGACAAGCGTGCCTCAGCAAAGCGTCCAGGGGCCATTGTTGGAAAGGTCAATATGGTGTTTTGAGAGCCTGTCCAGGTTGCCTTCTCTGAAGACAGATCAGGAGTGGCAAGAGAGTTTGCAAGTTGCAGAGAAGCCACATGTTCTTCCGTAGGGCTCTTATCTGATGCAAAAAACTCTCTCTTGCGTAGAGGCAGACCAAAGAGAACAACTCTCAGAGTGAATGGATGTGAGCTGATCGGTCTGCAGTCTTCCGCCTCCCAGTTCGGAAGACATGCAAGCAGACATAACGTAGGGATCTTAATATTTCGGACAGGGTTTTGGGCTCCATTGTGTAACTATAAGGAACCCTGGGGAATAACATTGGTGATGATTTAGGCTTCTATATTACAGTGTGCCAACAGGTGAACTTGCCTGGCAAAACCGGCAACTCACCGCGGGAGGTTGCGGTGAGCTTCTGCAGTAGCAATAGCAGCTAGAAAACTCTTCTCGGGAGAACAATGACTAGCAATGTTGGCCAGTCGTAGTTAGTCTTGTGCTCTGCCCTCGTCCTGATGTCGAGATCTTTTGCTGCTGAAACCCTTCAACGTCTCAACGCCTAGTGCCAGCGCTAACGGCCACAACAAGCCAGCTAGTTGGAATATGCGCTACAATTGCGGAGGGTTTCAGGAAAACCATGAACCCAAAAAAAGAACCAGACCTTCGAATCAGGAACCCTGATTCTCTAAAGCTGCCCCTTTTTCTGCTTTTTCTCAGCTTCCAGGATATCAGAAAGCTCTGAAGCCGGCTGGGCCACGAGGTTGGCCTTCTTCTCGAAGATTTCGCTCATTACCGGCCGACGGCTGTACTCGGCGATCAAGCTGTACTTGTCACCTCATTGCACGCTTGGGGCTTTGACATGAGAGCCTTTTCTGTTTTGTGAGTTTCTTGGTTTAGGGTTGAGGGTCTTGCGCGAGTTTGGGCTTCCTGTAAGGCATGGCATGAGAGTGTTTTGTTGACTTGCTTGGGCTTTTGTCATACCAGTACCGTGGGCCTGCGGTGCCCAACGATCTCTGCTACATTTTTCGGTCTGGCATGACAGTTCTGGGCTACAGAAGAATATACCCAAAAACCCTATTCTACCGGTTCTGAGTTCTGAAAGCACGCACTTTTGCGTTCAGGTCCCGTTCAGGTCAACTTTGCGAGTTGGGCTGAGTTCGGATGCTAGGAGCGTGGGTGAGTAGTGGAGAATGTGCACGTTGTCCTGGTAGCAAGTTTCCATGATAAAGCGGTAAAACACGCACCATTTCAACTTGATGCTCGTCGATGTTCCAATGCAAATCTGCTAGAATTGCTCTTGCTAGCGGACGATGACATTTCGGGTCTGAGCAAAGCTGTTCGAGCGGATCAAGAACGGAAGAAACGTACCAGTTTTCGGCACAGGCCCAACTTTAAACCCTAAACCACGCAGGTGAGCCCGGCGGCAGGACTCACTCACGAAAGCAACCACCTGCTCCCGCACTGCGCCAGAGATCCGGGTCACCTGGCGATGCGGGGCATCTGCAACACTGATTTGCCCTCGTCCGATAATTGCAGTCTATTACCACGAGCCGACAGTGCATTCTGGAACAACGCCCAGATAGCCCGCATACTCCACGCATGTTGGTAGCGTTAAAACGTGCCTCACTCGCAACACTGCTCATTTCGGCCTTGGACATCGCATCGCCACGGATGATTCCGAAGAGGACCATGAGTGTGGGCATGAGCGCCACGACCCACCAACACGCCGGGTCCTGCACCAGATAAGATTAGACGTACACTTCAAAGTGCATTCGCAAAGCAGTAACCTCACCATGTTGGCTTCTTGGGAAAGGGATACAATCAGGACGGCCGCACAGCACTCAACCTCTCGCAAAAGACTGCGGGCATCTGGCATTTGTCGGATGCATGAACGAGTGAGAGAGTGAATTAATGAATGAATGAATGAATGAATGAATGAAATTCATGCATCCTTGCGTGGGTTGTAAGTCTGCATCGCAATGGGCCGAGGACTTTCGGCGATTCGGGATCCGGCGCATCTTTTAGCACGCAGGCTGTGTTGTGAGAAAAAGCGCTGCCGACACTAATGAGACCATAGGCACCGAACGAGCACTACTGCAACTACAGCCACGATTGCAACAAGTACCAAGATGCTGGCAGAGGCTCTAAGCATGCCGACGAAGAGGATCATCATGATTAGCATCATCACCATCACCAGCATCATCATGGGCACCACCATCAGCATCAGCATCATCATCGTCATCATCGTCACAGTCATCGCCATCATGGTGGTGATGGTAGTGGTGATGGTGATGATGGTGATGATGATGATGAGGATGATGAATGAGATGATGGTGATGATGGTGATGATGGTGGTGATGGTGCTGATGATGATGATGATGATGGTGGTGATGGCGGTCGAGACGACCACGGTAATGGTCGAAATGGTGGAGATGGTGGTGATGCTGGTGGTGTTGGTGTTGTTGTTGTTGGTGGTGGTGGTGATTCTCGTGGTGGTGATTCTCGTGGTAGTGATTCTGGTGGTGGTGGTTCTGGTGGTGGTGGTTCTGGTGGTGGTGATTCTGGTGGTGGTGGTTCTGGTGGTGGTAATTCTGGTGGTGGTGGTAATTCTGGTGGTGGTGGTAATTCTGGTGGTGGTGGTGGTGGTGACAGTCGGAAACTCTAGGGGCTGTGTGATGGTTCTTTCTCGACCCTGGCTTTGGAAATCCCGGTTTAACATCCGAGAAAGCATCCCTTGGAAAAAAACGCCAACCTGCAGGTTTAGGCCGGCTCTGAGGATAAAACCAAGGCGAGTAACGGTATCCTCTGTGATCCCGAAAACAAGTATCGCCTGATATGCCGCAAAAAAAACCTATCTTAACTGTCAACAGGTATCAGGGTTTCAGAAATTGGGGCTCGCGGTTCGGGGTCGCCTGCCACATTGTGAAGCAGACCATCAGCACCTTGTTGAAAAACACTCTTCAGGCCGAATCAGTAGTGCCGACTGTCACTGCCAGCATGTCTAGAAGCCTGCTAGAGCAAGCTGCACGGCTGCATGCGACTCCAAGGCAGTCATGTCCTGCAGAATTGGTATGGTATGACTACTGCTACTATGTTTATTGACGCTATTCTACTATTATTTATTGTTATTGTATTGTATTATATTAAGACCGACTGCCAACCCCTCAGGCGATGCAAACATCCTGGGCCAAAGCATCAGAAAAGCCTGTGAAGGGGAATCGGGGGAGCATAATCCTGAGCTGAACCTTAGAACCTCTCGTCGACGGGCAACGATTCGACCGCCCATCTGCACGATTTCCAACCTTTCGGAATTGCGGGGGTCAGTCACGAATGTGTAGATTCCAGTAGATTTTGCGTATCTGAGGCTTTCGAGGATCAAAAAGCTTCCAGAAGCCTTTTGGGATCTAGTAGGGCACCGGAGCCCTGTTTCACTCTACACTGATCTGCAAGCTGCAAGCTGCATCGCCTTCATGGACGATCCCTGAACGTGACTCCGAAGATACGTCGGGGTCGCCACCAGACCACATGCAAAATGGTTAGCATGTTCTCGCGTCATGCTGAGCCAGCCACACCGCAGCATAGGCACTGGCAACGTCCGTACTCTCCTGGGGCTTGGGCAGCTAGTGAGATCCCTCATAGCCGGACTTGCAACTGATTTGGGCGCATTCTCCCCTGCACAGACAGGCCCCGGAACCACCAAGGTCCCCATGTTCTCCACGACCCAGACATCCCGCCTGCGTGATGGCATGATTCATCTGTGCCGGGGTCATGGAGCGCCTTGACTTCTCCTTGGCTTGAAGACGATGGGTTTGATCGACCAAAGAGGGTCGATCGGATTTCTGATGTTGACGAAACTGATGCAGGGCTCGACGCACCATGCAAGCCGAGCAACGCTGTAGTTCAGATACTTCCGAAAGAGGGTGGTCTGGATGAACATCTTCGTTCGCCCTTGCACGTCCAAGGACAACCTGAGCGAGACACGGCCCTGAACCCTAAACCCGAAACCCGCCCTAGACCCGAACCATGAAACCCCAGACGCTAAACCCTAAAGATGCATTCTTCGATGACGTCTGCCGAGATCCCTGACCCGATCATGCTTTTCTCAGCTCATCTCACTCTTGCGCTCCTGCTTTTCCAAGCAGCGACTTTCGGAAAAGTGGGTAATATAGGGGCCTCAGTAGTTGGAATAGGGTTTTGGGATACATTATACTACACCTATAGTTGGAACCCTGATTACGCAGGCTTCTGCGTGACTTTCTGTGCTCCCCGCTACCCAACTGCTTCATCCCGGCAATCCCGAAGATCCATGCAATGTGGCCTTGGACCCTAATGGCAAAATTGCTCGCCCACGGATGCATGCCGGACGAGCCGGGCTGCAGAAGCCCAAAACCCCTTGTGGTGTTTAGGGGTGTTTCGAGGGGTTGAGGGTCCGGGTGGATGAATGCTCTCCAGCCTACCTGTCTACATCTAAATACATAGTTAGATAGACAGAGTCTAGATAGATGGGTAGATGGATGGATGGATGGGTGGATGGATTGACCGATATGTGAATGTGTGTATACATGCCTATATATGTGTAGATACAGGCGTGTATATATACATACCATAGACATACATTTAAAAATATTTATGAGTGTGTGTGTGTGTGTAAAGATATACACGATCGTCAAGTAGTGGTCGTGCTAAGACAGCTAGGGCTCGAGAGGCTCTGAACAAATCGTAAAACCGCATGGAATCAGGGCTTAGGACTTGGGATTTAGGGCTTCGGCTTTGGCGTTTAGGATTTAGGATTTAGGGCTCCTTGACAGACTACAAACGCAAAGAAACCTTTCGGAGGCCTCTGGTAAGCACTGACGCATGTAGTGCAGGAGCAGCAAAGTATGGCATTCAACATTGCTTTGTAAAGATAGGCAGCTTATAGTAGTCCCAGACGTGAAGAATTGTGAGCGGCGCGATGTACAGGATGCCGATGACGATGGCCTTGCTTTCCGTAACATTCTTCGCTTCACAGCATGCACGCGCAGTAGCGAAGGGTCCGTAGTGGTGCTCCTCCCAATGGGGGGAGGAGAACACTTGACAGCTTCGAAAGGAACCCGAGCTTTACATGACCTGACTGCTCCACCAAGATCTTTGTAGAGCTCAATAAGGTCTTCTGGATTCGACCAGGTTGGTGAGAGAATGAGCCGTTCTTGTAAGCCCTACCACTCCTTATCACTCTTTGCTGAGCGACACAAGTGCGCCGATCCGGCAGAATGAGGCGATCCTCGGACGTCCTCGTGTCCAGCACCACCTGGAAGCCATGGTCCAGCAAGCTTTACATACATGTACACGTCGGCACAAACACACACACGCACAAACGCTTCGACATATACATGCGCACACTAATCTGAGGGTACAGAAAACCTAGATGTGCTGCATCAACGTATTTGCGGAACATGTTTGTGTAAAAACCGACATGTATGCGTAAACATCCGCTTTTATTCCTACTACCTGCCTTCTTGCCACAACGAAATTTCTTACTATGGCTGCTACTGATAGTTACTGACTGATGACGACTGATGTATGTGCGAACCTTTGTCTTACGACTGTGTACTTGTGACTACTTTTCTCGCTGGTAATGCTACCACTGGCGTTGCGCTCATTACCGTCGTGCTGCTGCATGTCCGATAGCATGATACATTATTCTCTAATGACCCAATGCTAATGTAGTAGTCTAGGTTGGTTTATGTTGCCCCATGTTGCCGTGCCTTGGTGTTGCCGAGATGTGGATCATATTGCTGGTTCACATGTTAAGTTTATTTCGTGATGTTCGCTTACATGCGCAGGTACACATTCGCGTCCACTATGTCTGTGGCCTGAGTCGTTGCCAACATGCGCAGCGATCCGAAAAGCTGACTTCACGTCAGTAGCGACCCGATTGCAAGCAATAGGGTTTCGGGTGACGCATCAAAAAAATTGATAAGCATGCAAAAAATTACAACGGCTGCCATCAAAAAATGATAGGCATCAAAAACAAAATTTGCTGAAAGTCTTTAGGGTTTAGACGGTAGCCATAAAAAAATATGATAGGCATCAAGAAAAAATTGCATGGAGGGTGTTGGATTTTTTAGGGTGTTTATCAATTTTTTAAGATGCTTATCAATTTTTTTAGATGCTTATCAATTGTTTTTTGATGCCTAGGCCTTTACATTGTTCAACTGGCTTGGTGCAATCTCGTTCCGCCGAGCAGCGTTGATGAGATAGGTTTTCATCATGAGGGTCAGCAGAAGGTAGGCGTTCCTTGCGCATGCCGCGGGACAAACCAGATCGTAATGGCTTGAAGAGTCGAACACAACCACGGGTTGGCCACTGGTGCAGATCCAAGCATCTTCAACTGGTCGAACATCACAGTCAGCACAGTTCTGTACCCCATGCCCTCACCTCGGTACACATGTTGGGAGAGGGGGAGTGGATTTGCCCTGTGACTACTGCAACACAAAGCTGCTGCATAGTCGCTGATGAAGTTCAGACGGAAAAATTCGAAAAACAGGGAGAAGCCACTGATGTTCCATATAGCATCCTCGCGATCAGAGAGGCTTTGAAGCATTATAGCATACTATGACATACTGTTATATATTGTAACATACTACAAGGCAATTTAGCAACGTAACGGGGCAGCCGGTCAGGGTGAGCTCGACTCGCATCCTACTCTGGCATTGACCGATCGCTAGTCCTCGCCCTTGAGGATCTCTTCGCGATGGTTATTGCCAGGAAAAGCATCATCATCGATGATCTAGCAAGGGCGATGTGCAACCAAGAAACCAGGTAGATTAAAGTAGACTGTAGTATATCATAGTATACTATAGTATACTATAAGATAATACCGTATAAGATAGTATAATATCGTATCGCATAGTATAACTTAGTACAATATAAAACATAGTATATTATCGTATACTTATCGTATACAAGAATATGATATAGTATAGCATAGTATCAGACAGTACAGAATCGTATAATATAGTATAAGATGGTATATATATATAACAGTAAAATATAGTAAAGTTCAAGTGTGGTATAATATAGTATTATACAGTACAGCATTACAGCATCGTACACCGCAGTATAACATAGTAAAGTATCGAAGAATAAAGTATAGTATGACTTGTGGGGCTCGGCTAGGGTTCAGTCAGGCCCCCGGCCTTTCAGAGCTGCACCTGTCGTCGGCAACCGGAGTATTTTAGCTGTAAACCCTAAAACCTAAAACCCTAAAGTACCCACTGCTACAGCATATCCAAAGAAACAACAACCCTAACATCTTATAGTATAGTGTGGTATATTGTGGTAAATTATACTACTAGTATATTATGGTTGACTACAGAATGCTAATAAAAATGGTTGACTTGCACTGCATGCCATATAACTGATCTAGTACTTCATGATCGTTGCATTGTGGGAGGTCTGGTTTACACATAGTAACACACATTCTAGAAGTTATAGTGTTAAATGTGTAGGCACGCCCATGTATATATCCTTGCCCGTACATACAAATGCTAGGTCTTTGCCCATACATACATATACCTTGCATCTTTGCAAGGCTCTCTTCGACTGCTTCGAGCCTTCTCACGTCAGGGCCTCCCGGAACCTCAAACTCGCGATACTCGGGGCACGGCCTTCACGCGGCAGTATTGCAGATCTTGTCCAAGCCTCCGGTTGAATAACTAAGTCTGCTTAGGGTTTAGAGTTTGGTGTTTAGGTAAGCCAGAAACCCCAACACCCTCAATCCTAAACCCTGCACGAGTCCAAAATTCTCCTGCATGGGCCTGACCCGGGTCAGGTGATTTGAGTCTGGCTCTTCTGATCATACTGACGAGTACTGCACTTCTGGCTCCTTCTCTCAAGCTGCCATGAAGGCCGAGGCCAGTATCGATTTAGGGTTTTGGGGTTTTGGGTTTAGGGTAGTTCGGCCGGATGGAAGGATGTGTCAGCCTGGTGGCCACTGGGCGAGTGCAAACGTAGGGGCCTGCAGAATTAGACATGCGAGCTTAGGACACATATAGATATATATATAGAGAGAGAGAGAGACAGAGAGAGAGTTTACACTAACGTAGCCGTTGTATATCATGGGCCGAATAACATTGTGTGATACGGCGGGGGTTCCTGACACATGGCAAGGGCGATCTCATCACTGCCAGGATTGATCCGAAATTCCCTAACCATGACAATCCCTAAGGTCCTAGACCCTAAAACCCTAAACCCTCCAAACCCTCAATCTTAACTTGACAGCACAACCCACAACAAGCACCCTTGCAGGCTGTGTAAGCATTTCGCAGCTACAATTGCAGTGCCTGCAGTTCTGCGGATGGGTCAAGACGATTTTGAATTCAGTGGAGGGTGACCAGTTGTCGTCGTCATTGATTTCCTCAGTCTCCACAGGTCTCTGCTCAATGCCAAGAAATGCGATGAATTGGCAGTCATAAACTCACAAGCCCATCGTTCACGACACTGCCCAGCATCAAGACTTGGCTGGGGCCCCAACGACCTGGATCTCCTTGTGATCTTCGCCATGTTCAAAGATGAGCTCGCCTGCACTATGTTCTAGGAGCGCGGGCCTAGAGCCCTACGGCCAGTCCAGAACTCCGTAGCTGTATAGCATCATTGCCAGTATCACGCTTGACGAGGATGATGGTGATGATGATATGATGACATCACCAGACATTGAACACTCACTGCTTGTGCATGCCAGCTGCCTGAACAGGCTTCGTATTCGCGGCCCGCAAGGGCGCTCGCATCCACGGTATGGTACTTCACCTGAATCGGGTTTGTCGCTGCAGGGTTTCTGGCTCTGCATGTCCTTGTAGTACTGCAGAGTGCGCAGCAAGCCTCAAGCCTTGCGGCTGACCATTCTAGTCAGCTCACCACCATTCGTCGACGTCTAACAGACTAACAGAACCCTGTAAATGCGGATCTGCCAAGCTAACTACCCTGCTGCTTCCCGATGCCAAGATTCGCTCAGCCTGCCCCTCATCGAGCCCAAACGCATGATGTCAATGGAGAGGGGAGATTCCCCCTCCTGTGCATAGTAGAGCTGGCAACAGAACCTCGGCTCCGTCATGCCCGAAGCATGTGAGCTCTTAGCAGACTCCATATCATTGTCATCACATGGTCTCGGGTTTAGGGTCTAGGGCCCTAGGGATTAGGGCTTAGGGTATCGAACAACTTCAAAAGAGCGTGTCCACGGAATTCCCAGAAGGTCCCTTTAGGCCCAGGATCTGGACAATGTCGCTGTCTCTGCTTGCCATGGCTGGCCACAGTCCTTTGCCAACGAAGGAGCTCTTGGCAGGTCGAGTTTATAATATGCTCTATCTATATAACTACAAATCTGTATATAGGTATATATCTATCTATGTGTGTATATATATACACAGAGAGAGAGAGAGAGAGACTTTTTACATGTACACGTGTACTTATACTTAGCTTTGTTGTTTAACAATTCTTATTGGCCCAATCAAGGCCTTCTGAATACTGAATATTGATTGTTGAAGCCTAAGCCCAAGCACTCACTTGTTAGCAACTGAGAAGAGCACAACTCGGCGCGCCAATCGCTCAACGCGCGCGCGGCAATTTAAGGCAAACTAGATGCGCAGCAGCTGTTTCGAATGCTTTGCGTCCAACGAAGCCCTCATGCGACAAGACTTGACATTTGATATGGACTTAAACAGCACTGACAAGATTAAGCGGAATGGTAGTACTTAGTAAGAAGACTGTGCATCCTGAAATTGAATACCATCGACTGACCCTGCGGTCTCTGAGCCGCCCTGCGGTCGTCACAGACACTTCCCAAAGTTGGGGCTTTCGCGCTTAGGAAGTCAGCAAGGCAAAAGCATCAGTCGACGGGCTGCTTGCAAGCTAAAATGCTGATTGGACCTTGGAGTCCACCACATGGCAAGACTGGACCTAGCTCCTGTAGTCTATTCGTCCTGCTACTCACAGTGGCAGTAGTAATCGTAGTTGTCGACGTCGTCGGTAGTCGGTAGTCGTTCGGTTGTCGTCGTCGCTGTAGTAGCAGTAGTAGCAGTAGTAGCAGTAGTAGCAGCAGCAGTCGCTTCTGGTACTGGTGGTGTTAATACCAATAATAGTCGTAACCGTCGAAGTAGCAGCAGTAGTAGTAGTAGTAGTAGTAGTAGCAGCAGCAGCAGCAGGAGTAGTAGTAGTAGTAGTAGTAGTAGCAGCAGCAGCAGCAGGAGAGGAGGCGGAGTGCTCGTACTTGTACTGCTTGCAGTCTTGCAATACTTGTAATACTTGTAGTACTTGTAATGCGGTACTTGTGGTACTAATGGAACTGCTGGTACGTGCTTAGATACGAATAGGACTAGTAGTACTGGTAGTGCTAGTAGTATTAGAACCAGTACTACTGACTACTGGCAGCACCGGCAGTACTAGTAGTACACGACGTACTAGAACTTCTACGAGGAGTAAAATCACATGTAGGAGGGCATTTCAACAACGACGACGAGGACGAGGAAGAGGACGACAACCACAACAATTTTGCAATTGAACGCTGCGCGAGAGGACTCCACGCTTCGCGGGCAGTTACGCGCTGGCACTCATACGTGAAACCGAAATAAAGGACGAGATATTGCATGACTACTTGACTTCTGGGCTCTGCTACTTTTGTTGGCTCTTGGACCGAACCACGTTATGCACAACCGCAACAACAACAACTACTACTACTACCACCACTACTACTAGTACTACCACCACCACCACCACCAGCACTACTACTACCACCACCACCACCACCACTCCTCCTCCTCCTCCCTCCTCCCCCTCCTCCACCTCCTCCTCCTCCTGCTCCTGCGCCTGCTCCTATCTGCTATCATCATAGCAATAATTACAATGACAATAACAATGGGAGCAACCACAATAGACACTCAACACATTCAGATAGCAGCAAAATTGCACACAGGTCACTATGACAAGTAAAATATATGAGCAACTAGGTAAATAGGTGCATCCAGCGATACCGAGGCTTGGATGTTCAAATTTGTGGCAACGTTCCCAGTCGCGCACCTTTAACCCGAAACCCCTCTTGAATTTATTTTCTCCTTTCTCCGAGCTTGCAGCCACTTTGCGGCGGCAAGGAGAGCCGTGAAGCCGACGCGGGTCCAATCCAGTGCGGCAAAGCTCTAGTTCATTCCAGTGTCATCCTAAGTCCAAACCTCGACTCATGTAAGTGCCACGGTACCCAGAATCCGGAAACCGTTTCAAAACCCACATTCCTTAAGAGCTATTCTCGAACAACTGAACTGCAAAGCCACAAGGAACCGGTTTGCACAGGCACTCCTTCGGAGGGCTGCGCAAGACTCTAATTTGATGGGGCAGCATCCTTTGGCATATGGGGGCCTTCATAACTCGAGACTTGGTCTGGGGTACTGTTATGGGGACGAGATCATTCCTCCCGAAACCCTAGACCCTAGACCCTAAACCCTAACCCCGAAACCCTAAACCCTAAACCCTAAACCCCAAACCTCTAAACCCTAAACCCTAAAAACCCTAAAAACCCCAAAAACCCTACAAAACCTAAACCCTAGTCAGGCCTTAGAGGCCCTGCGAGACTCGGCCAGCTCATGGCCCCCGCGTCTCTCCGCGCCACCTGGGCCAAGGCTAGGGAGAAACCGCAGGTCTACAGGGCTCCCTTTTGGGGTTCAGCGCTTTTGGGGTTTAGGGTTCAGGGTTTGGAGGTTTGGAGGTTTGGGAGTTTAAGGTTTAGGGTTCGGGGTTTTGAGTTTAGGGTTTTCTGGGCTTGGGGTATTGAAGGTTTAGGGTTTAGGGGTTACAGGGCTTGGGGGGTTTAGAGTCTATAGAACGTATAGGCTTTAAGCTGGGGTTTTTGGCCTGGAGCTGTTGGCTTAGGGGCCCATCTTGTTTGGAGCCTTCCTGCAGAAACGAACAGATCCTAAACCCTACATTATAACGGTTTCCGGTTTCGGGTTGTACCCTATGGAATAAGACCGGTTTCACCAAGCGAGCAGGACAGAAAAATGGACACTGTGCAAAAAAAAAGAGGCCGTTCCTGTCGTCGTCGCCAGTGTCGTAGCTACAGTGTGTTACAGTTTCAGTGATCTTTGTCGACCTCATCCGTGGCTTCATGCTTCGTGCTTGATGCCTCGACCTCGTCCTCGTCCTCCTCCTCCTCCTCCTCCTCGTCCTGCTCCTCCTCCTCCGCCTCGTCCTCGATGTCGTCATCGCTCCTCTCTCGTTCTCCTCGCTTTTCTCGTCGTCGTGGCCGCTATCGTCATCATGATCAGCACCATGTTCATCATCACCATCATCATCATCATCATCACGACCGCTTCCGCCATCACTGTAATTCTCATGGCCAGAATCTGACTGCCAATTCCAGCAGCTGACGCAGACCCTGACTGCTCCACCGATCAGCATCCCCGCAATGTTCTGGGGACGCAACGATGGCCGCACCCGCCGATCGAGGCAACGCCAGTCGCCCGGCAGTTGCGGGGCGTGACATAGAAGGTGACGATGCACACCTCCCGGGTATCGGTTAAGGTGTAACTTGCTTTTGGTCTCTTTGTCACATTTCACATCTTAGGGGCCCAGTGGTCTGCCCGTGTAGGAGCTAGGTCTTCGAAAAACTTCCAGCTATCTTTTGACCTGGAACCTGAAGAACAATACATTGTATTCTACTATAATATACAGCAAGACACTTTAATAATATGCAACGATCGACTCTAACATACCATCATTGATCTTCTACTTACTTTTGTTTCGTCTGTTTCTTCTTCTAGCTTCGGTCTGCATGTTGCAGCGCGCAAGCGACCGAAAGCAATATCATATTGCGAGCATAGCAAAAGCACATTATGGCACATGATCAACTATCGTAGATTGCAAGTATAGTATATCATGGTACATTACAAACTCTAGCATATGATAGCAAATAGTATAGTACATGATAAACTATGATATATTGCAAGTGTTTTGTTGTAATGCCAGAGGCGGGCCTTGCCTCGAAACCGACTCGAAAGGTTGAGGCGTGCGCCGGCGGGTGGCCGAGACCTCCATTGCTCTGAAACTGTGAAGTTCAGGGTTTGGGTAGGGTCTAGGACCTCGGGTGTTTAGGGTCTAGGACCTCGGGTGTTTAGGGTCTAGGACTTCGGGTGTACTTACGGTTTAGACTTCGCGGTTTAAGGATGGGAAAGCTTGTACCCCGGTGTCATGCTGCCTAGTGGCCTCGTACCCGTGCAGTGACCCGAACACGACGTTTTCTGCATGATGTACTATGTATACTAGTATATACTATAATTTTTCATGTACTGTAATATACAACAGTTTATACTGCACTACAATATACTATTATACGTTGGCACCCTCTCTGTGCCCTAAAAACTGTCTGATCGACACTCTCGGCAGCTAGACTCGTAGGGTCTTAAACCCTTTTGCAACGCCCTCAACCCTAAACCCTAAACCTACTTTACGATTGGGGACACATAAACCAGCCTGGCGCATTCCCAAAGCCGGCGCTGGAATGTCGGAGCCTGGAACGGGTACTAAGCGGTAGAGGAAGTAAGCCCATACGGTTCTATCAGGGCCAAAGCGGGGTTTGGGTTTAGGATTCTGGTTGGTGAAGGTTTTGGGTTTAGAGTCCAGGGTACAACATTGGGTGCGCACACACCGAGAGCAAGATTGCAAAGGCCTAAGCTTTGCCTGCCACATGTCTCAAAAGGCTGATGCACTGCCATCCTATGATTGACTGTGTGTGCGTGCAGGTGCGAGGCACGCGTCAGCATGGAAGAGCACAAACTAGCTGGATAGCATGATGTAGCAATCGGCTGTGGCCTCGCAATGCATACCGATAGTTCGCTACCCTCTCTGTCGTTTGCTCACTCATCATCGGTAAATGCTTGGCGTTGGTTTGCTGCCCTTCTGCTGCTTTCACCCTCGAAGTTGTGCTCTTCGAATGCTCCTGCCACTCGTTTACCACCCCAAGGAGTGAGTAAGTCACGATCTTGCTTTGCAGCCTAGTGTACTATAATTCACTCTGAAATACCAGAGTACACTTCAATATACTTTAATATACTATATTTAGGTAGCAAGCTCTTACCGTTGGCCAGACAGGCTCTCGAGGTCCCTGTTTCGGTCTGCAACATGACGTGATGCTACTACAGTATCCCCCGTACTGTCGTGATCGAAAAATGAGCCGTCGCTATGCTTCATTGTTGGTTCAAGGTTGAATAGTGTAAATTGTTCAACGAGTGCTCTATGCCTAAAGCTAGTCTGGGCATGCCGAGCCATTGACGTGTGCGGAGGCAGACACAGTACGGAACACCATCCTCCTCCCGATCCACCTTGCGGCTTTCGCATGTATGTTTCGGTTCTGGTGATTATGCAGCGCTGGGCCAACTGCAAGTTCATGGACCCGCATGGAATAAACTTCATCACGCCACGTCAGTGGCTCTTGTCTTCAAGCACGACGAGACAGGAGCGCACTCTGTAAATGTATTTCTGTTCGAGATCCTGTCCTGCCTCAGAGATCTCGACTGCGATGAGTACTTTGTCGCTGCTGTCAACCTGTCCCGGCATGATTCTTAAGGCGGGCAAAAGACCATGTCCATTGCCTGAATCCTATTGTGCTCCGTCGACACTCTTCATGTCTATACCTGAACCCTAAACCCTAAACCCAAAACCCTAAACCCTAAACCCTACACCCTAAACCCTAAACCCAACCACAATGCCAGCAACAGCAAGAAACGTGCCTGCCGCTCGAGCACGCCAAGCTTCAGCGCCCCAGACCTGGTAAAACAAAAAACGGCTGTAGAGGTAGTATAGGGGGCCTTAATGAAAGTGTCCACTAAACGGCTTGCGCTTACTATATTTTTGTTATAATAAGGAACCCCCAAAGTAGTATTGGTAATTAGTTAAGCCCCTATAGTAAGCCTTAAGCAAACGTTCTGGCAAGTCTGTGTTTCTATGGTATGTGATTGGAAGGACATGGCGAATGCGTTTTGCCCTGAGGCTGTTGGATCCGTGGACGGTGACTTTGCTTGGGTGCAGCTTTGCTATTTTGGTTGCAGTGGCTGGGTCTTAGAGCACGTGCACTGGCTGTGCTGCGATTGTCAGCATGCCGGTCCAAATTTCCTTGGGGTTGGGCTCGAAATGGCTTCTCATCTAGCTAGATAAAGCCGGTTTTTCAATGTTTTGTGTTGCGAGTACTTTCAGAGTGTGGCTTTTCCGAGGTTTGAAATGTGCTTTATCCGAAACCTTATCTGGGTGTTTGGAAGTTTTGCTGGCCAGGAATAGAAGCGTCTGCGGGCAGAGAGAGGTGTGGGGGGAAGGGGGGACGTAGCTGGATGTGGATGGCTTTCAGGAAGAGACTTGTTGGTTCGGCTGGGGTTTGCTGGTAGTTTGGAGTGGTTTGCAGACAGCCCACAGCACGAGGAGGAGCGAGCACAAGTCACTGCCGCACTGTCATGAGGCTCGTGCCAGTCTCCATGATCGTCGGCCACGAACTCAAACTGCTTCGTTCTGGAACCTGTCAGAAGTCTACAGCAGCTTCAGAGGTGCTGCCGAGGAGATTGCAATTGAGACAGGCTCACGCACCAAGTCGGCACAACTACGGTCGAATTTCGGACGCCCTGCTCCTGATAGCGGTGTGGTGTCTGTCCAACCGTGAGCCAGACAAGGGACTCGCCTCAGCCAATCGCACGTGTCGCGGCGGCTATTCTTGCTCCGCGTTTGCGGGCAAGTTTTGTGTGCAGGTCGGGAATGTGACTATTTCCCACATGCATGATAATCAACTGACACAAGTGGACTTCCGTAGCATGATCATGGAACACCGACAGTAGTTGCCGCAAGAACGTACGGCTGGTGTTCAGGGCTGAAGTTTCAACCTGCTCAGGCATACTAAGTCGCCTAAGTCAAAGGTTGTCCATTCTTTGGCATTCCCGACGCACGATTCCCGCAGCTGTCACAGCTTTGCTGCGCGAAGCTCTGCCACGACTTCGAAGCGAGCATGCAAGACTAAAGAATCCCAGAGGTGGGCAAATGACCATGAACTACTTGATGATTTCAGACTATGCCTGGCTTCACTAAGGTCCCTGGATGCTGCCCTTGTGCCTCCAGGGCTCGTGCGGGTATCAAGTGTTCTGCGAAAAGGAAAGTCATTTCTCAAAACGGAGGATCCTCTGCTAGCACTGCCCATGTTCATCGTTCTCCTGGAAAATACAGAGTACCTCACCAGGAAAGATCCTCCTTCTGAGAAACTAACTCCCCAGTAGCTGGAGCGTTGCCATGTTGAAGCACCTTGCTGAAATGGAACCATCCTGACGCACCCTGGAGCCAACACCAGTTTCCACAGACGCCTCTCCTCAAAAGTCCGCTAGTTGCATAAGTGTCTGAGGCGGAAAGCTTAGTCCAAGAACTTCAACAAAGTGAATCTTGAACTGCGACTTCAAACAATGGCGCTGGGGCCTTGAGGTGTCGGTTCCTTCTTTGTTCGCATGGGCTCGCGTGCCATCGCGCTTCGCAAAAGCGCTCGGGCGAGGGCTTAAGCTTGAGAGGGTTGGGGGCTTCGCGTCGATCTCAACCCGGGAACTGGAGTAAACATGCATAGACAGCATTTATAGCGTATAATATACAACACCGAATATCTCATATATAGTAGTGAACTACAGAGCAGTTGCAGACGGGTCCGGCGCTCAGATCCTCAGGAGAGTGACACTTCAGCGTCACCGAGAACTTCTGGCTGCCGCGAAGGACCTACGTCGCCTCATTGCGTCGGGGGCTGAGGGACTATAGATGGACTCAGGCTGTTCTCACAGATTCTCACAGAAACCTTATCCGAGAGTATTCCGAGCACGCCAGCCACCAGACGACCCAAGTGGCCGTACTTGCGACCAGGACTTTAGCAGAGGAGATTACTTGCGGAAGGCTTCGCCAATCATTTTTCAAGCCGGGTTGGGTCTCTTGATATGCTGACAAGAACATCCGATGAGGCACGACCTCTATCCGTCATCCAAAAATCTATCTGTGAGTCCCGCTGCCACAAGACTGTGCCGACAAGGCTCCGAGTTCCGGCTTGCCTTGGCTCCAGCAGCCACGATGAAAATGGCAGAGAAGGCGAAGACAACGATAACTTGACGTGACAGTGCAAGCGCATGCAAGCGCCAGTGGATTGTAGACTGCTGGCAATGACATCGAACATGACAGGAAGACTCGGGATGATCCAATGCAAACCTCGTCGCCATCGCACTGTGCCATCAGAACTGAGGGAATGATGATGATAGTCATGCCAGCAGCCAGCAGCAACAAAGGCTGTAACAAAGGCTTTTGACACTGAATCCGCAACCCTCAGCCTCACGGAATTTGAGGGAACCTGCAAACCCGAGTGAACCCCAAATCCCAAAGCCAAACGCCAAACTGGGCCAAACTCTCATAGAACCCTTACCGTTACTATGACATTTCTCGGAGCAGCCTGGTAGGGTCTGCGGCTTCTTCGCCACTGCCGTGCGCTCCGGTGGCAAACGCCCCACGGGAAGGCTCGATGGCTGTAGCCTGGGTTGAAGGATTCTATAAGGGCTCGTTACAGGGTCTATGAGGCTTCCATGAAGATTCGTCTGGGGTTATACGGTTCGGGGCTTTTGGGTTTTTGGATTTGGGGTTTACGGATTGAATCTGCTGCGGCCATCAGAAGACACGTGTGCGCAAGGGTGTGAGTAAGAATCATTTTCAGGTCCCGAGGCTTCAGGATTGAATACGTTCAGGCCGTTTAGGGGTTAGGGTTTAGGGTTTAGGGGTTTCGGGTTTAGGGGTTTAGGTTTTAGGGTTTCAAATTACAAAGGTCCTTCGTTGATCCGATTTCGCGTGATTGGCTGCCCCGCCTGTTCTTTGTTCAGCGACTCTCCGAACGTCACAGTATTTGTTAGAGAACAGGAGGGGCGGTTCAGAGATTCGGTGTCTTTCAGGGTCCTTATGAAAGGGGTCGGACTATTTGGGGTAAAGGAGCGTCCCTGGATTTCTGAAACTTCCAAATATCGCAGGATCCGTGGCCAAGAACCAAACTTCACAGGCACGCTCCCGGGAAACCTTGTCGGAACCCTCACAAGCGTCCTTAAAGGAATCCTTGAAGGAGCCGCTGAAGAGTTCTCAAAAGAACCCTAACGGGACTCTAACTGGGCCATGCTACAATCGACTGCCCTTCAGAGTGTTGCTGAGCTGGGCGATCATTCCACTCAGGTCGAGCACTTCGCCCTTCCTCGGCTCGTCGACGATTAGTCCGACAGTATCCCTGACGCGAAGATGCCAGAGGACATCAGTAAGCTTTGTAGTTTCTGCGAAACTTGCTGCCCACACCGTACAGCCAAGCTTCACAGACTCGAGCTGCTCGACAAAGGACTGTCGCAACTCCTTGTTCCAGGTGTGCACTTGAGGAGAACAGGTCCGCTTTGCGTCCGATTCAGAACCCGAGCACTGCCGACAAGATCGCGAATCAACTCACAAGTATCCCCTGTGCAGTGAGTTCCCCACTCTCCACCCGAGTTGCCATGATCATACGCTGGACTGCTTTCGTGGCCAGGAGGGAAGCAACGGTGTCCCCCTTGTTCACCTGCTCGACGCGGCCCCCGGAAACCGAAAAATCTAAACTCTCGATTTTTACCAAAGGCGCGGAAGCTTCGCAAAGGACCATCCTCAACAAACAGGAAGGGAAAGCAAAGGCAGCTGCCAAGAAACCGAATTGAGTGAGTGATACAGTACCTTGATGCCAAAAACCGTTATGTAACCATACAACACCATGCTGTTCCAGGAGTCAACAGATGTTTACATATGTGTGCATCATCCACATATATGTATCTGTATGCGTATACGTATACTAGTTGCAGTCGTCGTAGCACTAGTAGTAGTTGTAGTAGCGATGGTCGTATGCTTGTATTTATTTATCGGTTACGGGTCAAAGTCTACCGCTGTGTTTTGCTGAATCTGGGCATATGATGGAATACGCGCGTGTGTGTGTGTGTGTATGCGCGATGAGGAAGACAATGAGAAAAATTGCGATTCCACGACAGGGCAAACCATGTATTCACTTCTTTCATTTGTGTTTTTCTCTGTCGTTCCTTTCCCCTGTTATAACTAACCGAGAGACTTACCACTGGTGTACAGGATATTGATGGTGGCCTGGAGAGGAAGTAACAACAGCATGTTGCATGACAAACATATGGTTACGTTCGTGTGTTGTCCTTATTTGGCTTAGTTAAGCCATGCAATCTCTTATCTCGTTTGTGTTTAATTCAACAAAAGAAGACACAACACGAACTACACCTTTCATTCCTATCTTGTGGTCCTAAGCGTGCCGTGAGTTGATTGAATTAAATTGAAGCCTAATGAAAGCACGAGTTTAACTTAACAAAGCACAAACACACGTCTTACAAGGACACGACACGCTCTCTTCATCGTTTTATTTTCCTTTTTGTTGTGTTCTAATGAATGAAACTAAGCATGCTGTCACTTCATTACATTATCTTCGTCATCATATTAAACACAACAACAAAAAGAATGAAGACTAAGAGAGCGTTCCTGTCACACCACCGAATCCTTTGCTTGATTCCATTTCACTCTTTTGTGCTTCGTTCACGCTTCATTTTCATGTAATGTAGTGAATGCACGAATTCAGTGTAACGAAAGACACAAAAGAGCCTGTGTTTTATTGAATTAAACAAGCGTGCGTCCTTACCGTTGTTTTAATTCAATAGAACACAGAGAACACAGAGGAAACAAGTACAGGATTCTTCATTCTAATTATCTTTACTTTTTTGTTGTCTTTTATTCGTTTTAATGTAGTGGAATGAGAGAAGCGAATGTGAGGAACGGAAGCATGAACCGAAAAAAAGAGAAAAAGAAAAGAGAAAAGAATAAGGTGGTGAATTTGTTCTGTTTAATTCAATCATGCATTCATTTTACTGATTTGTACTGAATTAAACAAGAACAAACACCACCCATCAACTGTTGAGTCTAGCTTGGACGTGTCGTGAGCGGTGTCATCAAGAGCGTTCGCGAGTCAACGGTCAATCATAGGTCCATTCCAGTTACTTCACAACCAGGCTATACAATTCCCTTGTTTTCCCTGTTGCGCTACAGGTAATTGAAGAAGAGAAAACGAGGTAAGGAACGCACGCTCTTGTCTCTTTTCAATTAAACACAACAGAAGAAAACATGACCGCATGGTGGTGAAGGAACAAAAGCGCTAAATTAATAATGACAGTGAACGGAACCGCGCGTCCGCTTCTCTTCATTGCGTTCCGTTCACTTCTCTATATGATTGATGCGATCGTCGTCGGAAACCCAAACAACCAAAAAAAAGTACAAATACAAAAATCAAGCATTCTTTCAGAACTCTTCCAATTGTGTATATTTCTAATTCTGTTCTGGAAGAGTACTGAAATTATGTGTTTTTTTGGTTTTTTGTTTTGTTTGGCTTTGTTTTTTGGTTTTGTTAAGGGAAAAGGGTTGTTGTGTTGTTTAGGGTTTTTAATTACAGCATCGCCCCTATGCGTAAGAGTTGACAGCGATGTCGTCGAAGAGGCGTACCTGAACTGCCGGAAACGCAGCGGGAGAGTTTGACCGCCGAACCTGCATATCTATCTCTATATGCACCTTTGAGTGCTTTGATCATGTAGCTTGTGCCTTACTTAGTTTGCTGGTTAGCTGGTTAGCTGGTTAGATAGTGTGTGTGCTTGTTAGTTGGTTTTGTTGGTGTTAGTTTAGTGTTTAGTTTAGCTTAGCTTAGTGTAGAAAAGCTTAGTTAAAGCAAACTTAGTTAGCTAATTAGTTAAGTTAAGTTATGTAAGGCTAAGTTAAGTTAAGTTAGGTTAGGTTAAGTTAAGTTGAGTTAAGTTGAGTTTAGTTAAGTTAAGCTAAATTAAGCTAAGCTAAGTTAAGTTACGCTAAGCTAAGTTATTTATTTTAGTTAAGTTTGTTAAGTTAGTCGACTTAGTCAACTAGTTAACTCCGTTAAGTTAGATGAATTAGTAGTTAGTAGGTAAATTAGTTAGTTAGTTAGATAGCTAGTTGGTTGGCTAATTCCGTTGGTTTAGGTAGTTCATCTAGTTAGTTTAGTTTAGTTTGGTTTAGTTTAGTTTTGTTTTGCTTTGTCTTAGTTTAGTTTTGCCTTGTTGGCTAGATAGTTGGTTTAGTTAAGTTAAATTAGTTGAGGTAATTAAGTTACTTAGGTTAGTTAAGTTAACAATTAAGTTAGTGAAGCTAGTTAATGTAGTTAAGCTAGTTAGTTAGCTAAGTTATTTAAGTTATTTTAGCTAGTCAACTTACTGAAGTAAGTTAAATTAGTGAGTAAGTAAGTTTGTTAGTCAGTAGGCTAGATAGCTAGCTAGCCGGTTAGTTTAGATAGTTTAGTTGGTTTAGCTAGTTTAGCCAGTTTAATTAGTTTAGTCTAGTCAGTTTAGTTAGCTAGTTAGTGAGTGAGTTAGTTAGATAGTTAGTGATATAGCTAGTGAGATAATTAGCGAGTTAGTTAGCGAGTTAGGTAGTGAGTGAGTCAGTCAGTGAGTTAGTGAGTCAGTTAGTTAGTTGGCTTAGAGCCAGTGAGCTACTACTTAGCTAGCTAGCCAGGCAGGTGGGTAGTTAAATTAATTTAGACACGAGCATATCCAACAGTCTCCCAAAACTTGAGACTCGGACCATTGAACATTAGGTATCCTGGCCCTGACCCTAAACCCAGTTACATTCCCGGCCTCGCCACGGATTTTCAGCAGCCCTGCACAGGATGCAAAACTAGACGCGAATACCACAGACGGTAGAAGCGCTTGACGGCGTGAGGAACAGGAGGGCAAAACATGGCTGTCCTATGTACTACTACATTCAAAAGGAATACAACAGGCCAACACACAAGCTGATAACACATTTGAACGCTTACGTTGCGATTTCAAGATTACAGTGGTGCAATGATGCCAGAGACTCAAGACATGCGAATACTGTACGCAACTAGGAGAACCAGATCAAGCCATACTGCAATACCCAGGAAATACCAGCATCATAAGATACAGACATATCCATACGACCAGCAAAGCTACTAGACTATGGCAAATACAACATGATATGAGGGTGTCAGGCCAGGCTCACATCACAAAACGGGACACAGCCTGAAGCCCTTCGCCCTCAGGGTGGAACTTAGATTCCGAAACCTCTCGACCTGCTCAGCACTAGGTCTGATCCCACCCAGGTCGAAGACAGCGCCTTGGACCAGCTCTGTTATTTGCAGATTTCCACTACCATCGGCGTCAATGATCTCGAACCTGGGGTATTACTGCAACCGGAAACACAGGCAATGAAGGTCGCTCCCCCATCACAAGTCTCCCGTTTTGGGCGGCCCGCATTAGAAGTGATCTGCAATATACACACAGGCTCGCACAAGTGGAATAAAGTAACCTGAGCATAACACGTGGTCTGACCGATATGCGCCTAGCCGTATTTAACCTCACACTTGAGAATGATCGTGCAACGGCACCGGCCGTCTATAGACCCTATAAACCCTGGACCTCATACACCCTAAACCCTAAACCCTTCCCGCACAAACTCGGAATTTGGCGAACCGTCCTTCTGAAATTGTCGACTGAAAGGTAGTGAGGACCAAGATTTGGGGTCGCAATTAATGTTGAGAGCTGTTGGAGGTTTAGGGTCTAGGGTTAAGGGTTTAGGGATCAAGGATATATATACATGAACGGCAAGCATACTTTGCCTGCTGCCCATGCCTGAAAATGCTATACGACTGAAAATACGGTTCATGAAGCTTCATGCAGCATCATGAGTCCCAGCAGGGCGCCGACGCCGACATTAAGTCCGAGACAGGAACCACAGGTAGCCCCAAGACGCCGACATTAAGTCCGAGACAGGAACCACAGGTAGCCCCAAGATCAGCTACTCTCCAGGACGTGCAAGCACGTAGCATGTTCGCCCTGTCCACCGGCATGTCCAAGTCGTCCATCAGCCGCCTCAGACGGGCTACGGGCCTAAGAGCTCCCAAACTTCCCTAAACCCGACGGCCATGACTAGAAGCCATGGTCTAGGGTTTAGGGCCCTTAGGGTTCAGGGCCCCTAAACTCTAAGCCCTGAAGAAGCAGACTTGGGACTGCGTGCGGGATCTGACTGGTGCCCAGCTAGAGTGCGGCCAAAGCTCTGCACTTCCTGATCTTGGATCACAAGGAGAAAGAGCTCCTTCGTAATTGTAATGTTGTCCTCCAAGGCACTGACACCCTTCGGCACATGTTGCAACAGCCGCAGCATTGGCAGCAGCAGAAGTTGGAGCATTCACAGAAGCAGTCGTTGTCGCCGGCATAGTCGCAATGCTAGCTGCAGCAGTCTTGGTAGTTTCAGTGCCGTCAGCGACGTAGTAGCAGCCGCAGCATTCACTGCCCCAGGAGTGGAAGCAAATCGTCCGTTGTCAGCATTGCCACTGCAGTTGTGGCAAAACCAGTAGCATCGGTGGCCGAAGTGGCAGCAATCTTGCCCAAAGTATTCAACATCCAAATGGAGACTGAAACCGTCACCTGTATTCGCAAGCTTTCGGGCGCTGGCCTGCGCTCTAGTCCAGCACTGCCGCGTCCCCTCTAAATTTCCTGCCCCTGTTTCAGTCCCCCACGCTGCAACCTCCCCCCATTTCCGCCTGCCCGGTAAAGGCTTCCTTTCACGGAGCAAATTGGCGGCATCTTGTCGTGCTGCAGGTGTGTACAGACTCGGTTTTTAGGACTTTGCTGCGAGGTGCAGGGTTCGTTTTCCTTATATGAAAATTATCCTTGCTTCGTGCCTGCATCTGCGGGGCGGCGGCAGCAATAGCAGAGACAGCAGCAAAGGCACGAAACAACGAATAATCATAACAATCGATAGGAAAACAATACGAGCGGTCATTGTCGCCGTCGTGATGGTAGGAGCAGTCGTAGCTTGCGGACCAGCAGAGCAGTGCATTAGGACCAGCTCGGGGCAGCATGCAGCAGGAAGAGATAAGCAATACATCACGAAATCGCTCCATGTGTCCTGAATCTCTTCATCCGTGAAAAGAACGGCAGAAGATGTGATGTCGAGGTGCGACGCATGCTCATCCTCCATTTCGTGGAAGAGGCCTTGGAACCATGTAGAGCATGTTGGGCTAAGCAAAGCCACCGAGATGTGACTTGCTTCTTGGGCAGAGCACGCAATCCCAAGTCTGTCACGCAAAACGCTACACTCCACACGCTGTCGAAACAGACGATCTTCACGCAGTTCATGAACATGCCACGTTGCCATGTGCAGCCAGTATGACTCAGTATGTCAATATGGTTTCAAGGGGCTGGCCAATGCGCAGGCTACTCGCAGTAGACATGCTACAGTGTGGCAAAGTTGCTCGTGGCGGTGACTTGATTGCAGCAGCCCCCCGACAAGAAACTGAAAACACGAGCCCAAAATCTCCGACGACTTGGGCCGTGTGACGGTAGGCTGCCGCAAATTTCTTCAACAACTCCCGTGTGGTCCGCGCGACCCGTATCGACTCCTTGGCTATAGCGTTTAAACATAACAACACCGGATCGGGACAGTGATCTTCCTCTAGGTGTCCTCAGCATAGGATCATGCACTTCGTGCAATCAGTGCACCCGTACCCACCTGAGCCAAACTCCCTGAAACCCCAAACCAAAAACCCTAAACCCCTAATTGCCGATGTGGAATCGTGGAAGTGCTGTTCCGCGGTGACGGCCTCTGCAGCGGTAGGCGGGGTTACGGATTCGGGGTTAGGGTTTAGGATTCAGAGCTTAGGGTCTGTAGGGTTGGACTCCACCGGAAGACAGAAGGTGTGTGCGGGGCTTCGTTGTGGTGTATGTCGCTGGGGAGGAACCCTGGACGCTGAGCCCTATAGATCACAGGACCTGTGCTACCATACCTAACAAATGCCCAACATCATCACCAGTCAAGCCGCCACACGAACTACCACCACTCACGCCACCCCGCCACCGCTCCCCCCGACACAACCAGCTGGCACAGTCAACAAGAAGCAATACCAGCACAACCACCATCGTTGTCTTCGCCCGGTTCCTCATCTGCGTCCACTCCTCATCATCATTCTTGCTGCCGTCTTCCTGCTCCTTTGCCCACTCCGGCACTTTCCCTCTTCCGCCTCTGCCTCCTCATAGTCACTGTCGCCATCGCTATAGTGCCAGACACTGCAATCGCCATCGTCGCTGTCGTCTTTACCGTAACTGGTGATTGTCAAACTCACAGTAATGGCATGAGACGCACCCGTAGCCCAGAAGGCGAATGACATGAAGAAAGGAAAAAAAGCTTCAGAGCGCAGCTTTCACCTCCCATGGAGGTTCTCTCACGACACTGTTCCCGGCCTCGCTTTCCTTTGCCGCTTTCATGGTGATGTCCACATAAACTGCCTTACCGTGAAGCTTTAGGGGTTTAGGCAGCCCAAGCTAAGCTTTCGAGACTTTGACACTGCACTGCTAAGACCAACTCGAAGCCTTTTGGGCAAAGGCACGAGGATCACGTTGAAGATTCCAAGGGCCACCTGGTCTGCATCATGCTTGCGGTTTCGGGTTTAGGGTCTAGGGTCGTTTAGGGATAAGGGCTTAGGGTTTAGGAACTCCATACTCCATAGCTGAAATCATGACCATTGAATCAAAAAATGCCAACGATGCCCCAAGCTGCGAGCATGTAGCTGCTGACATAGCCTGGTCTTTGTGTGAGTTTCTCAAACTAGACAACAGAAGCAGCATGAACATGGTGTACTGCAGTTCGGATTCGTTGCCAAACATACGCAAAAGGTGCCCTGGTTAGAAGGTTGCCGGCAAAGCGTTGACAGCGGCTATTCCGACCGATACACACCAACATGATCTTCAGGTCTGCACCGAGGAATGCTGTTGAGCAACATGAACGATGCGTGCAGGCATGCATGTGTTTGCTGCGTGCACATGCGTACACAGTAAAAGTTCCCGCTCGCACACCCATCTTTCGCTGTGCATGTGCATGTGTCTGCTTCTACGTCGTATATACACAGACACATATACATATGCATCATGTATATATATATATGTGTATACATATATATATATGTGTGTGTGTGTGTACATAAATACATAGTTACATGGACATAAATGCACGCAAGTCTTTTAGGCATGTCTCTGTTATACAAATATTCGAACAACATGTCTATCTGGATAAACAGAAATATACGACAAACACACACGAACACATGCACACCTGCTGCTTCTACACCGCTGAACTTAGATATACAGATATGCATACAAGAAGAATATGCAGAGCTGCGAAACGTGCCAAGCATGCATGCATGTGGACACGTAGGCACGCATACTCGCAATGCCGAACGACCGAACCAGGCTTTCGTTGCATGAACAAAGCTTTCGTGCATGATTTCTTGAAGCTGTGCAACAAAAACAAATGCGTTGAAGTCTATCCGAGTCTATCCGTTAGTGAAGAATTGAATTGTCAGTGCAGGGGCCCAGGACGAAGGGCAGCCCATACGCCCGGGCCAACAACGACGGAATCGGCTGGCCGAGGTCGTCGATGCACTCGCCGATGAAGCAGCGGAAGGCTGTAAACCTGTTCAGACGCGCTTCCCTAAACCCTAAACGCACTAGGCATTTCGTGAATCATAGATTCTGCCAACCAGGAAGATGCCGCCGGAGTGCGGGGATGATTGAATTGAACGGGTCACTCCCCCACAGCCGCAGAACCCAACAAAGATAAAACGCTCTACACGACAAAAAAAGACAACATGTACTGGACATCGTGCTAGGCCGACATTGTCAGCGGCAACGTCTCGAAGAAAGGCCCGAGGTGGAACTCCTTGGGAAGTCATTCCGATGTTTCGTTTAATTGGGTTCTGGGTTTCGGATTTGGGGTTGACCGTGAGGGGGGGGGGGGGGGGGGGGCGTCCCGTGTATTTAAGGATTTGCAACGTTGAGGGTCCCTCATGTAAAGCGTCGACAGGGATTTGCAAAGACTGTTTACGGAAGTCTTCAGGATGCCTTAAAGTTTGGGGCACCTTGTTCAAGGCTAGATTACAAGGATCCTACGGTTTAGGGTAGCATTACAGGTCTTAATACGCTGCAACCCGTCTTGTATGTCAGCCAATGCTCTAGTCCTAGCTAACACACGGGTCTAGGGTTCACAATAGACTGTCTTTAGCGACTTTGTGTCCAAATCAACAGCACAGCATGGCCATTTGCATCATCTTGACCACTTGACTATCTGACTTAGCGTCAGCAAACTCAACAGGGGATGATAGTCATGATGACCATGACTAGTACCAACGACGATGGCAATGGTGAATGTGCACATGGTAGTTCTCGCAATTCGGGTCCCTTTTGGTATCCTGTTGGAACGGTGCCGTACTATTTTGGGGACCTACAAAGGGACCCTAATTTAGAGAACTACCCATAAGTTTTCCAAAAAGCGCGATTTTCACAGCAGTCAGGTCAGCACAGCATCCCGAGAAATGTAAACCCCTAAAACCCATAGACCCAAAGACTCCAAAACCCTACAACCCTAAACACTAAACCCTAAACCTAAGGACCCAAAGACCCGAAACCCAATACAACCCTGAACCCTAGACCGGAGCTTTTTAGGGACTCCAAAACACCTCTTTAATTGAGGACTATACCTCAATTCTTGCCAGGGTTCCTATTATTATAATTGTGGGTATATTCCTTAGATTAGGGGCTTTGGAGTCTTTGGGTCCAAGATGCTGCAGTCACAGCGTTGTTGCCAATCATCATGAATGTAAAGCCCGAGATGACCTCGATGTTACTGCTTCAGGCTGTAAGTTTAGGCTTTAGGGTTTAGTTTAAGGTGTAAGGTTTAGAAGTTTGGGCCTTGAGCAACTCTTTGCAGCGGCCAGCTGTTAGGCTCAGGTTGTGTTCATAGTTCTTTTTCGGCTTCTGAAAATTTCTTCACAGAGGTCCGTCTGCGGTACCAGGGCCTTCTGCACTTTGGGCTCGGTAGCATCTACCATCATGCCGAAACCAGAGCTCAAACAGACGAACCTCTGCAATGGTACTTAAGTATGAGCCTTTCGGGACAAGAAGCTTTAAATTTTGCTGGAACATCTCGGCTTAAAGGCCTTCAGCACTGTGCCGGGTGCCTTGAGGTCCTGTGGCCATCCCATCGGTTGCAAGAGAGTCGCACGCCGTGAGATCGGGAGGAGGGTGTTCTGATCTCGACACTCAAATGAAGGGAACTCACATGGCTAGGTCAGCGGGCCTTTTGTCCAGACATGCTGACATGCATGATCCGTTTTGAAGGCGAGGCACATAGATGACGGCGAACAGCAAACTGAAGGCCAGTAAAAGTGTCCTGGCACCAGCTTTGGGCTGTTTGCCTGCAACAGACCCACCACCGGCCGACAGTCATTAGCATCAGTCTGCCTTCATTGCTGCTGCTGCTGCTGCTGCTGCTGCTTCAACCAACAACAACCAAGCAACAACCAACGGCAAACTTGGAACCACAAACCACATGCAGCGAACAAAACAAAACACCACAAACATAATCACAACCACAACGAACCGAGACCAGGACACGACCGTGACGACGACGACGACGGCGACGGCGACGACGACTACGACGACTAAGACTAAGACGACGACATCAACATCAGCAGCAACAACAACAACAACAGCAACAACAACTTTGGGTCGGACTTTTCGTGCTGCAAAACAGGTCTGGCCAGTCGACAGCCGAGGATTTACTCTCGACGACACCTTCTGTTCTAGCCCAGTGGATAACACAGTCTCCGCTTACCTACGCGAGGGGGTTACCTCCAAAATGAGGCTGACACACACTCCGGGATTGCCCTCGGGGTGTTACCTTCCTTGCCAGAGGATAAAACCGCCAGGTCGGGAAAGCAAAGAGGTTCAACCTCAGTGTCTCGCGGCATCCCAACAACAACAATAATAACCACAACCACACCCACAACCCAACCCCAACCCCAACCGCAACCGCAACCACAACACGCAAACCCAAATCACAACCACAACAACAACCGCGCCACCATAACAACCATCACCGGACTCCACCACCACCACCACCACCACCACCACCACAACCAACACCATTATCACAACGCACCATCACCACTGCCACCACCTCCATCACCGCAACCGCAACCGCAACCGCAACTACCACCGATGATACTTTAGTCTTAGCCCGCACGGTGTGCAGGCAAATCTAGTCTCTTTAATCTCAACCTAGCAACCCTATAACATAGGCACCTCGAGTGCTACATTTATCATAAGGAACCCCGGAATAATGTTGGTATTCATTTAGGCCCCTATATGAACTTGTTACCACTCTGTGTCCTGATCCCTGCGACCAGGCCCTTCACCATGAGCCGCAGCTCGCTCATGAACTTCAATCGGAAGATCTTCACTATACGGACCTTCGTGTGCGGTTATGAGATTTCGGGGGGGTGGTGGATTGAGGATTCTTTCGTGTCTAGAGTGGGGGCTTGGAGCTTCGGGGTGTCTAGCAGGTTTGACTCGACTGTTCTTCAACCTTCCGCGTGATCTTCGCAGGCTGGCTGGCTCAGCTTTGCAATGTCAACGCTTCAGCATAGATGAAGATCAGAGCTGCTTGCATGGGCAAGGACTCGAAGCGGAGGAAGTTCCCTACATAAGTGGCCCCTGCTTGGACACAGTCTTCGTTTCCTCTGGCTTCCATCGCTCCGTCGCGCTTCTACCTTCCTTCCAAGCTTGCTTGTTCATGGCCATTCTGCGGGTCTTCCCTTCTTGCCCTTGCTTGTCCCGACAGTGTTCCGCACGGTTAGTCTCTTGAGTCTATAGCATGCCGAGGCACGAGTCTGACCAAGCGACAGAGTCCTCAGTCATTGTCACCATCCCCTCGCGAGTCCCCGCCATCATCACCAGCCCCATCAGCGTCACTAAGAGCGACATCTCCGTCAGAACTGCAATCATCGGCCTTGACATCGTCGGCGTCATCCAAACACGTTGGCTACCGGCAGAACTGTGCATGTGCGATTGAGAATGGACAGTCATTATCGTCGTCGTCGTCACCATCATCATCACCATGACCACCACCGACATCCCAAAGCGGATTTCATTATGAGCAGCTATTGACATTAGCATATTGCCCTGGTGCAAGTCTTCCTGGCTCAGATGACAGTCTTAGGGGAGCAAAAGGCGCGAGCCAAAACAACTCCTACATGTTTGAGGCTGGTTCCACAGGCTTGTGAAGGACCCGAGTCAGGCTGAAGCGACGCAAAACTCTCAGCTACTCCAACAAAAAACGAACATCGAAACTCGAAACCCCGAGGCGGTTTGCTCTTCTGGATCAGAGCCTGGGGATGCACGATTCCTATTGATTTCAAAACAAGGTGCTCAACAGGGAGGCTGCGAAGATGTCTGTGTTCTGGTCTCTGGCAATCTGCAGGCCTGCCATGTCCGATGACAGGATCTGGAGCCTGCTACGATAACAGCTTTAATGATTAGACTCCGGCTGTCGGCTGTGGGGTATATATATATATGTGTATGTATATATATATTTTTTTTTTATACTACTACTACTACTGCTACTACTACTGCTACTACTACTGCTACTACTACTACTGCTGCTGCTACTACTACTACTACTACTACTACGACGACTACTACGACTATAAGACTTGATTTTAGCATAGCCGGAACCCTAAGGCACACTATTGGTAGGCTTCCATGCTCCTGGGCATTATCTGCTTTGTGTGTCTTCTAGACTGTGCCCCTGCACAGCCAGGACCGATATCCTTCGAAGCACCAGAACGACCGCTAAGAGAACTCTCGATGCAATATGTTATGTTATACAGTAGTATATTGTAGTGTAGTATATGCTGTAGTAGTATACTATATTATGGTATCGCAGTCTGAGTCTCGACCCCGGGGTCATGAAAGTAACTTCTGGGAAATTCTTGCGGGCAGCGTTTGCGATTCTGAGCCGCAGGCCAAGATCGATGATGCCGGTTAGAAGAAGGCCCATGTCGAACCTCGCGGTCAAGCTTCGGCTGTTCACCAAAATATCGTATACTATAACATCATAAACTATAATGGAATATGCTATACTATAACATAATATACGATGTCGCTCGCATCTATGATTTGGAGCGGATAGAGGCCCTGGCTATGCCAGTTTCATCCAATGTCCCCGTAAAGTCGTGACCGAAGCCTGAATGGATCACACAAGACGGGTGCGCTGACTGGTAGAGGACCACAACAGAAAACGCGTGCCTAGCTCGAGGACTTGCCACGACGCATCATTTCATATAGTATACGATACCCGAATATAGTATACTACAGCATTATACACTATATTATAATACACTATACTATGTCGGGTGGGGGGGGAATACCATGCATGCTCTTCGAAGGCGTTTAAGCCCTTCTCCTCGCAACTTCAGTCAAGCTCAGGATCGCTAGCTTTCCCCTCCCACGCTAAGCTGGGTTGATGTTTAACGAACCTAATTTAAGCTGCGATGATAAGGAAGCCCTACTACTTCCTATGTGTCCCCATCATGGTAACGCAAATTAAGTTCTTTAACAGCAACCCAGGAAGCTCTTTACCAGCATGTGCCGCTGGCCGCAAGCAAAGCCAAGGCGCCAGTTCCAGAACATGTCCGGTCCGCACCAGAAAGCCCTGCAGCCCACATAGCCTTACCAGGCATGCCACCGCAGATGGATGGAGTAGTTGCATCTTCTACAGTAGATTTCGTAACATTCTGCTGCGGCAAGTTTGGACTGACATGACAGCCGTCGGCAATAAGATGCTATGCAAGCATATCACAGGTGCATCGGCAGAAGCCACAAGAATAGAGGATAGACAGGGTGAGTAACAGAAGCAACGAAGCCTCACATAGTTCTTCTTCTTCTTCTCGAGCTCTTCCCGTCAGATGACCCCCTCAGGCAATCCGGATCCACAGCTTCCAAAGAACCAAAGCCCTGAAAAGCCATGAAGCTCAAAGGTTGGGCAAAACCCCGAAAAAACCGTGAACCCCCAAGCCCTAGACTCTTGATCCTAAACCCCTCAATACACCCTCAACCCCAAACCGGAAAACTTTCGGTAAACCCTGACAGGGCACTTATGCGCAGCAGGATTTCCAGCAGCAGCGCAGTTGCGAAGACCAGCTCGAAGTAGAGCCATCCCTCCCAATCTTCCACCCTCGGTTGGCTTCTGGTTAAGGGTGTTACACGGATCCACGGAGGTTTCTATCAGGGTTCGGAGATTTGAGGTTCTGGGGTTTGGAGGCTTTCGGGGTACTATAGGGTTGAAGCCGGGATACTGTCTTACAAAACTCGCTATATAAGCTCAGAAACATACTTCCCTCATATCGCCAAGCGATAGACCACATAGACCGTGCCCGCTCCCCAAGCAGGGCTTTGAAACTTGCTTTTGAGCGTACAGGGACTCCAGGGATTTAGGGGTCCAGAGTTGAGGTGTTGATGTAATCTTTGCGGGTTTTGGGTAGTTCTCCATGCAATTGCAGCGCTCTGCTTCATCTGGCCGGGCGGAGGACGACGCAGCGTATACAAGTCCAGCTTGGGGTCTTAGGTTTTGGAGCTTTCCGGGTGCTCACTTCTTTAGGGGTTTCGGGGACTTGGGGACTCGAAGCGGCTGTCCTCCTCGCTCAAGCAGTGCCGTGCTGCCAGGGAATGCGTACTGTATACCTAAAACCATCCTAAAACCACCATTCACCATTTTGTGTACGTAGGTTCTTATTCTAAGCCTAGTATGGAAGATATAGGGGCCCCCTACAAAAACCGCAGGTTCTGGCACTGATGGTAGCCTCCTAGGTGTGTGAGTGCTTAGTAACCTTCATGTCGGCGCCGCAGCCACGGTCTAGCGCCTCTGAGGATGCTGGGATTACGTCGGGTTCTTATGATTCCTAGATACTGTAGAAACCTGTATAGGAAGTAACACTATCCCTTGGGGTTCCTGATTCTCGTGTCTGTCGCTCTTCTTCCCTCGGGCATAGAGGGCTGTTAAGGCCCTCCGGGCTCTAGGCCCCCCCGTTTGCTGTCCGGGGCTTTTGGAAGGGCGTGAAAACTCGGAGTGGAAAGTCGCTCTGTCTCTCTCTCTCTCTCTCTCTCTCTTTTTCTCTACGTAGGCCAAGACATTATTGTAAAAAATTTTAAGGGTCTGTGACGAACCCAAGGAGGGCCATCAGAGGTCCAGCTCTTGCCCTCGCTGCCAAGAGGCTCCGTCTGCACACCAGTCCTTAGAGCCGATACCAGACCACAACCACCGTTTAGGGCCTACTTAGGGAGGGCTTCGGGTTTAGGGTTTGGCGTTTCTGGTTTAGGGTTTTGACAAGGGTTTAGGGTTTAGGGTATCGGAAGCTGTTGATTTCAAAGGCGGTTCTCCTTTCAGGTGGTGGTCTGCCAAGAGTTGGGGCCCAGGTTCCCCGCGAAGGTACTGCTTTACTGGACGCTTTCTGCTGGACAATGTGCACCCGAACACCAGACCGAACTCGAAACCGTCATGTTCTCTTCCCAGACATGTCGAAGCTCGCGCAAAAACTTCGAACTCACGTCACTCGCGTTGCGGAAATTCGCTCCGGAAAATTTCGAACCCCATGAAACCTGCCTTACAACCTCGACCCTAAATCTGTAAAACCGAAGCCCTATGCCTTCGACCAAATCGCACCCTTGGATTATCATAGCCTTCTAGAGGCCATCCAATGCACTACCGAAAGTCCAAACCGGGCTTTCGTAGCACTTCGGGCACTGGTCTTGGAATCAAATTTGTTTAAACATGGGAGTGTGAGGCCCACGATGCAGGTGAGAGCTATGCGATAGCCTGGCGCATTCTGACCGAAACTGCTTGCCGCCCCAAGCAGCATCACGCCATTGGCAACGATGAGCAGGGCCACAAACGGCTCCAACAACAAGAGTGGATGAAGCCTTCGGACAACGACGGAGAAGTTCACCACTAGGGAGCCTTGCCCCAGTGCCTGTACCAAAGCATCCTACTGGTCCCATAATGAGGTGTTCCAACAAGGCTTCACCGAGAGATTCTGATCGGGATCATGGAAAACACAAAGCACACTAATAAAGCACACAGGCCTCGTATCTCTAGACCTTGAGCTCTAAGCGCCCGACCCACCCCCCGCACTTCAAATCCGACATTGCTACAGCCGGGGTACTGGGACCTGAACAGTTGGAGTGGGGTTTTGGTGTATATACGAACTTTAAGAATTAAGGGATCCTGAAGAACGGCATTAGTAGGTATTCGGAATAACTTATTCCAGTCAAAACCCCAACCAAAACTCCAGCCGCCATCATCTTCGTGTCGAGGCGCGGCTCGGGTGGAGCAGCCAGGTCATTGATGCGGACAAATGTAAGTTCTGCTACCAGACCTGAGTCGAAGATTCGATATCGGGGTGAAAAAAGCGGTCCACAGGGGGTGATCACGGATCTATAAGGACTTTTATGGGAGGAGTACATGATTCTTTGGAGGTGGTGGGGCTTCCTGCTAAGCACCAAGTCATACCAAGGTTTCCGGGTCTGGAGCTGCAGGGGGCTTTAGGCTGAGGCTGCACAGCACACACACACACACACACCCACCATAAGTCCGAAAACCTAAACCTAGTCTATAGCCCAGACCTGGCTTGCACTATAGATCCGAAACCCCATAGTTCTGAACCATGGATCAGGAATCCAAGACGCCCTGAAACCCGAAGCAGCTTTGCGAAAGCCGTGGGGCGATTAGTGTCACCGGCCAAGAGGATCTCGCGGACGCCCTGAAAGACCTTCCTGAGTCCACGTTGGGGGTTTTGAGTTTAGGACTTGGGGCCCAAGGGTTGAGAGCTTGCAAGTACATTTAGAAGGTTTGGCAAGAATCTTCATAGGGTTTGTGTGGAAAGTCACATCAGGGCTTCTTACGACCAAGTCCAGTCCTATTGGGAACTAAATGCAAAACATGGATTTTGAGTCCGACGCGGAGGCATTTCAAGGGTTTTTCCATATGATTCAGTACCCATTTTGCATCGCTGACCCATGTAAACACTGTGACAGAATATCCATGGAGATGCCTGATTTCATGAGCACCCTGTCAAGACAAACATCTGCGGCATCATGACACATCGAAACCAAGTCTTAACCCCAGTGTGGACGCCGCCGCCAAAATATGTATACTCTCTCAGCGATGCGACAGTAGATGCCGCAGCCCAACTCGCTGTTGTCAAATGCTACGAAGGCAACTGTTTGACCGATGATAGACTGCTAGACCCCATCTAAACGCAGACAGAATCCTTGAGACGAATTCAAAACCAGGACGCCAAAACCCATCTAAAACAACCATCATGCAAAACTTCATGATTACTGCAGGTTAAGGTTAAGGGTTTAGTGTTGCACACTCGTTATCGGAATAGGACACGCTTAACCCCATGTAGACGCACGAATGATATGACTTCACACTTACAGATAAAACTTACATACCCCCTTGCACCACTACTACTAATAATAATGCGACGACGACGATGACCGCCACCACCACCACCACGACCACCACCACCACCACCAACACCACCACCCACACCAGCACCCACACCAGCACCCACACCACCACCACCACCACCACCACCACCACCTGAGGCGGTGGTGGTCATTGCAGATGGTGTTGTTGTTGCCGCTTGTAGCTATTGTTGGTGTTGGCACTGTTACTGCTGCCCTTGCTGTTGCCATCATTCATGACGTTCTTGCTGTTGCTGGTGGTAATGGCTGCGTAACTGTCACTCTTATCCTTCGTCTAAAGCGGTCTAAAATGTTCAACGATGCATCCCAAGACGCGCAACCCTTCCCGAAACCCGCTTGAAAAAACGATACAGCCTGCAACTCTACCCCAGACCCTAAACCTAGCTCGAGCTTCAGCGTATGGGGTCCGAAGATGCGCTTCTGCACTTCGGCATCCTCTGCGAGAAACCTGGCTTGCGGCTCTGCTTTGAAAGATGGGCTTGACGGGGCTTAGGGTCTCAGGCATTAGGGGTTTGGCGGTTAGGGGTTAGGGTGTTGAGTTCCGGTTTTCGCAACTTTGGGGCTGAGGCCCTGTATGTGGGGTTACAAATGCAGCTAAGCCTTGCTGAAAGGGCTTTCTTTGCAGAACGCCTTGGTTGCCATGTGCTGACACAGGTAATCTTGGTAATAGTAGTGAATACTGAAGCCGGCTGATCTGATGAGGCTCGCCGGCGGGCTTAAAGTTTGGGAGTTCATCAGAGATTTATGGTTTAAGGTAAGGGATCTGCGGTTTTTTTTGACACCTCTTTTCCGTCCGCACAATCCGATTGGTTGGAATGCCTATCAGGGATCTACGGTTTAGGGTTTAGGGTTCAGTGATTCGGGCTTAGGGCTGAGAAAGGAGAAGGGGGTTTGGGATTGGAGCTAGGGAAAGCCGACACCCGAGCATGCGAATACCTGAAATCTCCAACCTCTCATGCAAAAGCAGGCTGGCAAATGAAGAAAACGTAATCATATTGCCACATGGCAAGACAAGAGCTGAACAATATCAGAAAGTCATGTGACAAAAGATGTTACCATGAAGTAACATGATCAGATCCTGAATGCAATGGTATTGAGAGTGAAAGATTAGCACAACGAGCTATGCAATAGTAACGATGAAAGACTGCTAGACTCTTCAGAGTGACTTCCCCTCGAAGCTGGAATCAGGACCCGAACAGCTCCAGCCAAGCTGCAGTGTCATTAGTGGCTCTGCAGGTACACAGTTGAACTTGCCTTGGCGTGAGAGCTCAGAAGACGAAGATGTGTAGCTTAAAAGCTGTGACTTCGCAAGGTGTCATTCGGCCACGAAGGCGTAATTTCTGCCTTCCGCAGGTCTTGCAGCTGGTTATGACACTGCACGTGAATCCTCGCGAACAGCAACAGGAGCTGGCGTCAATGGCTGCACCGCCACGGTGCGAAATCACGAATTGAACGCAGAAGAGTACTGCTTACACTGTGAGGCCTGGCATACTGCAATACAGCCCAGCCATTACTCAAGGAAGTGTTAGGATAAGAAAATGATGATTCGCCCTGAAGACAGAGGACGAACAGCATGATGATTCGAATGTCTGGAGTGAAGATGACGATCGCAACAATTGCGCAGATTTATGGCCTGACGAGGAACATGAAGCTCAAGCTGAAATTGATGACAACTGGGGTGGTGCT